CTTTCTCTTATGACAAAGTCAATTAAAAGAAGAAAGACAAACATTGCAATTGACAAAGATGAAATTAGAGAATCCATCACATACTGAAGGTATTTAAAACAATAAAAGGATCCACATACTTTAGTTCAGGATCACTGAGGTCTGCCAGCTCAGGCAGCCATTTACAGCACCTGACGGCCACCACAGCCTCAAGGCTCGACCACGACCCTTGCTAGGGTCAAGTCTGGTGTGGAGTGACACAATGTCGTACCAAAGCCTGGGGAGCGTGCCTCCAACAGAGCTGAAGGGCCAAGGTTCAGACAGCAGCGAGGATAGATGACATGCATGCCGCTTGGTTTGTCTAAGAGAGGGAGGTTTATTAAAAAAGGTCTCTAAGCACACTGAATCTGAGCGTGTGTATTTGTGTGCAAGAAAGGTGGCAGCTGTCAGCCATGCAATTACGGAGAGGCCCCCTGATACCCATACTGGCATACGTTCGCATCGCATCACACAGGCACAGGAGTGTTGAGACACTTGCAGACAAGCGGTCACACTCATTCAGGCCTCCCAGTGGTCTTCAATCTCTGCTCCTTTTCAACAGCAGCCAAGACCTCTTGTAGGCTTCACATGCGCATAAAATTTAAAGGAGAATGACACCTGATCTCAGATTTTATATGCTTGTACAGCCTGAGATAGCCCATTCAACATTTGTGATAGATAGCTCAACAAGAAATCAGAAAACCACAGCTCTGTTTACAAGTGGTACCATTAGCACCATCTCATTTATTTATATTTATCCACCTCTCTTCACTTCACAGTAATTTACTTAATGATTTTGTGAGTGTATCTTCAGGTTGCAGAGAGGTACAATTAAAAGCCCTCACCTCACTAACCTCTTCTAAATAAACAGAAAACTGCAGTTATCGGTGGCTCTTTGTATCTTTTATCGTATTATATATAATATGGACGTGGCCCAAAGCTTTAGAATAGCAGTGAATATAGTACACACCCAACTCAAAATCAAAATAGAAAAAAAATTGACTGCAGCACGTACCACACACACAAGACTTAAAAATGTGTCTTTGAGAAGACACACATATCGAACTGAGCGTGCCAGCCATACCGAGGGGAGCCTCTACAAGACAAGACGGGGGTGGGTGTGCTCCTGGAATGGCTGCGTGGAAGGACACACAGACACCTCTTTGAAAGTGATACATGGCAGCAAGCGCCACTTCAGATCCCCTCAGACAGGCAGAGAGGATACCAGGCTGGCTGGGATTTAGGCCGTAATGAGCCTGGACAGAGACACACTCACTCACATGTCGGTGCGTGCGTGTGCGCACAAGCACACACACACACACACACACTAAGTGCCTAAGTTCACTCAACAATGCGGCCAGCTGCAAAGATAATATGGATGTGGGCACAGAAGATAAACTACAAAGGAAAACTGGTGGACAAATATGCATTCCTGGGTATTTGTAGAGCCGCGTACACACACACACACACACACACACACACACACAGCATTAGTCATTATTGGAGCAATACATACTTATATACTGAAGAGGACCATGTATATTCACACATACAAAAAGAATCTCAGAAGTGGAGAAACACCCATAACGACAATCAGCTCAACATCTCTGACTTATACAGTGGGGCAAATAAGTATTTGATACACTGCCAATTTTCCAAGTTTCCCCACTTACAAAGAATGGACAGATCTGTAATTTTCATCGTAGGTACACCTCAACTGTGAGAGACAGAATCTACAAAAAAATTCCAGTAAATCACATTGTTAGATTTTTAAATCATTTATTTCCATTTTATTGTATGAAATAAGTATTTGATCACCTACCAACCAACAAGAATTCTGGCTCTCACAGACCTGTTAGTTTGTCTTTAAGAAGCCCTCCTGTCCTCCACTCATTGCCTGTATTAATTGCACCTGTTTGAACTCGTTACCTGTATAAAAGACACCTGTCCACACACTCAGTCTACCAGACTCCAACTTCTCCACTATGGGCAAGACCAAAGAGCTGTCTAAGGACACTTTGGCACAAAATTGTAGACCTGCACAAGGCTGGGATGGGCTACAGGACAATAGGCAAACAGCTTGGTGAGAAGGCAACAACTGTTGGCGCAATTATTAGAAAATGGAAGAAA